GAGTGGCCTCTTCAACTCGTAGGTTTTCTCTGTCTCCGCAGCCCTGGCGACGCTGAAACCCCAGGCTGGCCTCATCGTGCCCCAGGCGGTGCCCTCGGCCCAGCCAAACGTGGCGGTGAGTGTCCCCCGCACGCCTTCACCTCCTTGCTCCCACCCTGCGCCTAACYGGCCCTCTTCCCTGTCCTCTGCAGGGTGCTGGGGAGTCCATGGATCTGGGAGAGCTGGCAGGCATGACCCCCGAGATCATTCAGAAGGTAAGGGCTCTTCTGGCACAACCTTCCCTGGTTCCTCGCCRCCAGATCCGGGATCAGTTTGGTAACGGCCTCTTCTTGTCCTGCAGCTGCAAGACAAGGCCACGGTGCTGACCACGGAGCGCAAGAAGGTGAGCAGTGGCAGGTGGCATCTTGTTTTGGAAGAGGAGGGTTGGGGTGGCTTTGGGGGCTGTTTTAAGCAGGTGCAGTGAATTGAGGATGTGCASCCTCCCTGGGGGAAGCTGTTATTTATCTCCGGGTTACTTTATTCCTGCAGAGGGGCAAGACTGTTCCGGAGGAGCTGGTGAAACCAGAGGAGCTCAGCAAGTACCGGCAGGTGGCTTCGCATGTGGTGAGTGCCACGGCTCGGCGCGAGGGCTTGGAAGCTCAGCTGGGCGTCCTGGCAATCCCTCCATGGCTGAGCAGCGGATCTGCTGCTCTGCAAGGCAGGAAGGGGAGCGTGGCATTTTGTGCCACAGCACGTAATGCAGGGATAGATGTGGCACAGACCGGCAGTGCTGGAAGGACACCCCTATGCTCCCCTTGAGGGCCTCTCAGTTCCGTTGGGGGCACTCTCTGACTCGTGGCATTAACCCGGTGTCCTTTTAACTTGTGTAGGGGCTGCACAGTGCCAGTATCCCGGGGATCCTTGCCCTGGATCTCTGTCCTTCCGACACCAACAAGATCCTCACCGGTAAGGGAGCCGTCCCCGCTTGCTGGGGACTGGCCACTAGCAAAGAGCTGCGGTTGCTCTGGGGCACGTTGCCTTCTGTGCTGCTGCAGCGGGGGTGTATGGCCGGGGACATCAGGAATTCTCTCGGCTCGGTGCAGAGCTTCTCAGGACAACGTGGTCCCGAGGAAAGGCGGGTGGGCTTGGGCTGCGCCGGCCGCCAACTCCATCTCTGGCAGCTCTCCCCTTCGTTTTCCAGGCGGGGCTGATAAAAACGTCATTGTCTTTGACAAGACTTCGGAGCAGATCCTGGCCACGCTCAAGGGGCACACCAAGAAGGTTACCAGTGTCGTGTTCCACCCGTCCCAGGTGAGATCACGCTCGCGTTTGGAGTGTGGAGTGTCTTCCCTCACAGGCCAGGTGGCTGTAGATCAGATGGACCCATCTCCTGSTTGTCTGTTCTAAGGGAATGGGGTGAGGGCGGGGCTCTCCATCCCACTTGATGAAGGCAGTTCTAGGAAGCTSTCAGATGGGAGGTGAAAGTCTTGTGACCATGGTTCATGCCTCCTTGTCTCACCCCTGTCCAGGACTTGGTGTTTTCAGCTTCTCCTGATGCAACCATCCGGATCTGGTCTGTGCCCAACGCCTCGTGTGTCCAAGTTGTCCGTGCCCACGAGGGCTCTGTGACCGGCCTGAGTCTCCATGCCACGGGGGACTACCTCCTCAGCTCTTCTGATGACCAGGTGAGACGCTGCCCAAAGAGTGCAGACACCCCCAAGCCCTCCCTTCTTGGTGCTCAGTGCTCTGTTGTTCTCTTCCAGTACTGGGCTTTCTCGGATATCCAGACAGGCCGTGTTCTCACCAAGGTGACGGATGAGAGCTCTGGCTGTGGTAAGGCTTGTGSCTGGGCCTGCCTACCCCTGGGGGCCGTTCCGAGATTGTGGAGAAGGGGATTTTCTGCCCACACATCCCTGGGTCTCCAGTAGCCCRGAGAAACTTCTGTGGGCACCCCCTGGTAAAAGGATCTCCCAGGTCAGACTCTTCCCCTAAACCTTCCRCGTTTCCCCCTGTGTCTTTGCAGCTCTTACCTGTGCCCAGTTCCACCCAGATGGGCTCATTTTTGGAACAGGGACGATGGACTCGCAGATCAAGATCTGGGATCTGAAGGTGAGGGTAGCTCTGGGCAGGCAAGAGGCGTGGAGAGGTGTGAGGGGACGCAGCCACAATCAGTCTGTTGGGTCTGGTGCCCAGAYGGGTGCTCAGCCCAAGGCACGGAGCCCGTGTCTGCTGGAGTGAGTCTGGGAGAAGGTTTTCAGCGTGGCTTGCGGTATTTTTCTCCAAAAATATACAGCTTCAGCCGAGGAGTTGCCTCTTTTCTGGTGCTGAAGCTGGCAATCAGTATGTTTTTTCGATGAGTTGGTCTCCTCCCTAAGAGAGGAGGAGGTTTGTAGGCTGGCAGGCTGGCTGTGYGGTGGGATGAGTAACTCCGAGGCAGACTGCTGACCCGGATGGGCCTACGCTGAGCTGTCTGCACAGAGCAGAGCCGTTACGGGGCTCTGCTCTGCTGCGTGCCTGGAGCTCACGGGAAGTGTGAGAGTTGGGTACCGCATGGGATGACGTTGCCCTGTGGCTTTCCTCATCTCCACTTCTGTGCTCAYGCAAATTCCTGCCAGCCTGCTCCTTCAGAGGCCCTTGTGCCCGAGGCAGCGTTTCCCTRCAAGCCTTTAACCCTCTCGCTCCCAGGAACGTACCAACGTGGCCAACTTCCCCGGGCACTCGGGCCCCATCACCAGCATCGCTTTCTCTGAGAACGGCTACTATCTCGCCACGGCCGCGGACGACTCCTCCGTCAAGCTCTGGGACTTGCGTAAACTCAAGAACTTCAAGACGCTGCAGCTGGACAATAACTTTGAGGTGCGTGACCCTCGCGGCCSGGCAGGCTTGTAGGTCTCTGCCACCGTGTCCACCTTCCAAGCCAGTGCCGTGTCCATAGCGCTCCTCTCGTCCGTGGGGAGCCTGATGTAGAGGTGCCAGCCGTGGTGGTGGGTTCCCTTCATGGACTGTTGAGAAGAGTTGATCCCCAGTTGCCAGTTTGGAGCTTTTAGGCCCGATGTGAAGCTTTGCTTCTCCCTCTCCGCAGGTGAAGTCTCTCATCTTTGACCAGAGTGGCACCTACCTGGCCCTGGGTGGCAYGGATGTTCAGATCTACATCTGCAAGCAGTGGACAGAAATCCTCCACTTCACAGGTGAGGGGCTCTGGCCGCCGGAGACAGATTGAGGGACAGTTGGAAGGGTGGTGGCCCTTTTTGGGGAGAGGGAATCTTCTGGTTCTGCTGTACGTGGTGCTGCAGACCTAGCTGTGGGGTGCAGAGTGATAGTACCGGCCCCATCAGCAGGTGCCTCGGGTGCAGGGGAAAATGGGAGGCAATCCTCAGCTGTGCAGCATGAACTCTTGAGGTTCTGGGAGCAGGAGCTTTGGAGATGGTCTCTTAYTGCTGCCACTAGTCGGTGACCATGGAAAGAGCCTGTAGCAGAGGCTAATTCCTTGGAAGCCCCGTGTCCTGCTCTGCGTGAGCGTGCCCTAACCACGCGCTGCCTTCCCTCCGCAGAGCACAGCGGCCTCACCACGGGGGTGGCCTTCGGCCACCACGCCAAGTTCATCGCCTCAACGGGCATGGACCGGAGCCTGAAGTTCTACAGCCTCTAACTGCAGATGGGCGGCCAAGGGGGGCTCTCGCTGCAGCGCTGGGCTTCGGGGGGGACAGGGGGAGTATTGGGGKGGGGGGCGGTGTGGGAGGGAGGGAGGCGGGTGGGTTTCGGCGCTTCCCTGCGCTTCCCTGCTCTGGTTGTTGGCAGCAGGGAAGTCAGCAGGATGGCGCCTTCCCCGTTGTTTATGGCTTTGGTGTTTTGTTTCTCTCCTCTCCTGGTTTCGTGCTCGTCCTTCTGGCTTTAGATCCCTTTTTTTTTGTGGTTGTAACTGAGGCAACAAAAGGCTTCATCCCGTTTGCTGGTGGGTGTTTGAGAGACCGTAGTGGGGCTGCGTGTGGGGAGGGAGGTGAACGTGCAGGGTTTGTAAGCAGCTGTCTAGTTTCATTGCGGAAATAAAGAACTGTCGTCTTACCCGGTACACGCACAGCTTGCTGTCGTCCGTGCCCAGGAGGAGGCTGCCAGGACTCCGGGGAGCTGCTCACAGCCCTGTTCTTCGTGACCTGTCACACGCAGGCCCCGGAGGTACCCAGCCCYGAGGGAAGGGTCCGGTGATGGATCTGGGTGTGCTGGAGCGGGGATGAGCCCAGGGCTGCCTGGGGCCAGGCCAGGGCTGCTGCCTTCAAAGAGCCCCCATCAAACAGCTGCTCCTCTCCCCGCAGCTTTTGTAGCACGTTCTGGGGGACGCTTTAGCCTCCTTTTCCCTCGAGAAACAGCAGAAATGGGTAGATGCMTTTCGCCTTAGCTGGGTCTGTGCTTGGTTTTTGGTGTTTGCTTGGGGAGAAAGGGCCTCCCTGGGTTCGGTTCACCTGCCCTTCTGGGTGGCTCTGTGAAGGCGAGACCGGTTGTGCCCCCGTGARGGTCTCTAGCACCCACTGGGAAGCTGAGAAGCTGCTGTTCTCCATCCTCCACAGACACCTACGCCCAAGGCAGCCAGAGWGGTGAGAGAAACAAGTGAATGTGCTGCCCCGAGTTCTGTGCGAGTGAAACCTCTAACGGGGTCTGCATGGGCTGGGCAGGCTGGGCTCCCTCCCTGGCCGCCTCCCCTGCGGCCAGAAACGTTTGTGACCCACCTCCCATCCCTGGGATGGAGAAGGAGCTGAAGCTGCCCTTCACCCCCTGGCTCCAGGCACCCAGGTGTCAATGACCTGCCCATCCCTGCTTTCCCTGCCCTCCTCCTCCTGGCACCACCAGCCAGAGCGGCAGGATTGCATGACTGCCTGTTACACGCAAGGGAAGCTCAGGGGAGATTGTGGCTGTCACGGTCTCTGAGATAAGGAGAGGAGACGTTTTTTGGCTCTGTCCCCCGCAGACAAACCACCAAAGCCTCTCCCTTGAGCCACCACACTTGCTGGTTTATTTTATACTTCTTGTGCTGCATGTTTTTGACAAGGGAGAGCAGAGCCCGGAGATGTCCAGTCAGCTGTGACCTGAAAGCAAGGGCTGCGGAGAAGGAGGACGTTTAAAACGGYGCTGCCTGGTGTGAAGGGGCAGCTGAGGGAGAGGACGGTAACAAGAGAGCTGAAAACCGTGTTTTTCGGTTAGCATCTGAGCAGGTGCTAGCAGAAAAACTCACCCTAGACCTTGAGCTCAGCCTTTCTGCAGCCTGGGGCTCTCCTGGAAGATGATGCGTCCTTGAGAAACCGCTTTGTGCGTGGGCTCTGCTGTCCTCCTCTCAGACGGAGACCGGCGGGCTCCTGTGGAGGGGTACCAGGAGTTGGCATGGAAAGGGGGCTGCCAGTTAGCGGGATGTGGAGCTGTGCTGCAGGCCACCAAAGGGCCCTCGGTGGCCAGCATGCCGTTGCCATCAAGCTGTCAAAACCTCTCAGCTCCTCTAAGCGCGTCCTTGACGGGCCAGCCTGGGAGCGTGTGTTGAGGCCACGCAGGAGCACGTGCTGCACGTCGCGGGCAGGGCAGCACCTGCCTTGGCAGCGGGATGCCACCAGGAGAGCCCTCCCAGCGCCCCCACTTACTTGATGGCACCCCCAGCTGGCAAGAGGGCCGGCAGGGCTCCGGCTGCGCAAGGTGGCACACGGAGGCACTGCAGAAGATGTACACCTGGAAGGCAGGCATTGGCACGGTGTCAGCGTGTGGCACGGGGACAAGGCCAGGCAGCCTTGGCCCTGTGGCCTCCTGAGAARCAGCTCTTTAGTCCTTTACCCAAAGGAAACTCTATAAAAGAGCATAGATGCCTTGCTTGTTCTGTAGGGCCACAGCCAGAGCAGAGGGGAGACTACCTGGCATGTGGCAGCGCTGTCTGTGCTGCACAGCATGAGCCAGGGATCTTTGGCAGGGTGGGAAACCAAAGCATTTGCTCAGTCAAAGTCCCAGGCGTGTGTTTAGGGTGTTGAGGGTATTAGAAGTTGGATGGTGAATGTCCTCACRGCTTGAAGGACACCCCTTGGGGAGCAGTGTTCCCCACGTCTCCTGGAAGGAGACCGTTTCTTGAGGGGTGAGCCACTCTAGATGGGGCTGAGCACATATGGGTTTGCAGGTATAGGCTGAGCTTCTTGCAGGCAAGGGTGAAGGGCAGTACCCAGGAGGGACAGTAGGAGAGCTCTGCAGTTGTGGCCAAGTCACAGGGCTCATGCACTGCATCTGAGCGCTTGTATTTAGTCTCTGTCTGAGAGCTAAGCTCAAGCTCCGCTTCACCCCGCAGGGCTGAGTGGAGAAGTTCTCCCGCCGTGGTGTTTATGCACGCCCTCCTCACCTCGCCTTCCAGCATGGCCATGGAGGGGGACTCCACGAAGGTGAACGTGGAGACAACAAAGCGTTGATAGTGGCTTGGGAAGGGCAGCTGTTGTGAGGCCGGGCCCACAGGTAGGAGCTGGGTCCTGTAGTTGTCCCCTGCGAATGGACACCTGGATGCACAAGAAGCACCCTCAGTCCCTGCTGAGGGCCCCCGCCTTGCCATCCCTCTCTTCCCTGCCTGCTTCCCGCTCACCCGTCCACCAGGATGGGCCACTGGGGTTCTGCCGTAGCGCTGGTGCTGGGGGACGCCCAGCACTGGTGCAGGACCAGGACCAGGTTGGGGTCTGTCTTCTGCAGGAGGCGCACCTCCACGTAGATGGGGTCCCTCAGCACCTTCACGAGGGGATACTCGCTGTCCTCATGGTAGCTGCTGTAGCTTTCGTCTGCGGGAGAGGAGGGAGAAGCCAAGCTAGCCGTGGCGCCGCGGGGGCACCGTGCCGCTGCCTCGCGGGCTGCTCACCCGAGGCGATGCGCAGCTGGAGCCGCAGAGGCCCGGGCTCCGTCAGGGCCTCGGCTGTGGGAGGCACTGCCACCTCTACGCGGACCGGCAGCAGGTCGCTGGCGTTGTAGATGCAGCGAGCGTGGAGGCTGCGGGGCAAAGAGCAAGGTGAAGACTGGGATTGGCAAGGCGCCTTAGGCAGAGRCTGGGCAGGCTAGGCTTTGCTAAGGGTGGGATGCGAGGTTCCCCCGTCCCTTTGGCCAGGAGAGGTGGTGTTCTTCACAGCCAGGAGCCAGCTCAGCCCCCGCATCCCTCTCCTTACATGTAAATACTGTCCCGTGTGATGGAGCCACGCGGTCCTGGCTGCACATCGATGGTAGAGATCAGCTGGTTCTCGTAAACCAGCCGGTCCTCGATCACCTGGGGTGAACACAAGCGCAGGCTTGACTTTCCCTGTCTGAGCTCAGGGACAGAGCTGCCCCCGGACACCAGGGCCCTGTCCTTACCTGCACGGTGGTACCGCACTGAGTCACAGGGAAGCGGAACATCACGAAAGAGTCTGTCACCTTGTCAGGCTCACAGTGGCCCTCGTCACTGGCCAGCCGGACACTGTCCAGGTTGTAGGGCTGGCTGGACAGGCCCCGGGGCACCACAATGATGAAGTGCCCATCCTGCAGGCACTGGACAGTTGCTGCAACGTAAGGAAAGGGGTTGCCCAGTGGGCCCAGGTTTAAATAAGTCCAAGTCCTAGTGGGCCGAGAGCATAGGTCCTTTGTCATGGCAGTTTTTGGGCCATGAGCATGGTGCATTTCACAGAATCACAGAATGTTCAAGGTTGGAAGGGACCTCTAGAGCTCATCTAGTCCAACCTTCCCGCTCCAGCAGGCACACSTACAGCRTGGTATCCAGGYGGGTTTTGAAGACCTCCAGAGAAGGAGACTCCACAGCCTCCCTGGGCAGCCTGTTCCACTGCTCTGTCACCCTCACAGTAAAGAAGTTSCTCCTCACCTGGAGATGGAACTTCCTSTGCTCCAGCTTGTGCCCATTACCCTTCGTCCTATCGCTGGCCACCCATGAGAAGAGCTTGTCCCCTTCTTCCCTGCATTCTCCCTTCCTGAACTTATACATGTTGATCAGATCCCCCCTCAGCCTTCTCTTCTCCAGAGAAAACAGGCCCAGCTCACTCAGCCTCYSCTCATAGGAGAGATGTTCCATTCCCTTAACCATCTTGGTTGCCCTTCTCTGGACCCAACGCATTTCCCGGCGGCTCTCCAAAGAGGCCCGGGGCTGCCCTAGAACCACCACGGGTGGCTCTCTGGAGGCTCTGGCGACCAACACCGCCACGCTAGGGACCGCCAGGCCCCGTCCTCCCCACCAAGGAGCCATGGCGGAGCACATGGAGAGCTGGAGATGCCTCGCCGAGAGCCGCGGGTTTTCACCTGTGTTGCCGTAATAGCAGGGCGCGAGGCGGTCCGCGTCGTCGTAGCAGCAGCCCGCCCGCAGGCAGCTGTGGCGGCCGAGCGGCGCCGCGCACGGCATCCTCCCCGCGGCCACGCGGCACTGCTCCCGCGGGAGCTGGGCCCCTGCGGACGGGAGAAGGCTGAGCCTCCCCGCRGGGCAGCGGCAGGGGAGGCCCTGCTCCGTGCCGCTCCCCTCCTCCCGTGCGCCATACCTGCCCCTGCTGAGGGGTAGAAGAGAGCCGCGGACTGGAGCAGGCCCGGCTGAGCGTGAAGGCCGGGACGCAGCACGCCAGGCTGGGCTTGGAACTCGGGCCGCGCTGGGCCTGGCTGCGTTTGAGGCTGAAAGACAGGACGCGCTGGACCTAGCTGGGGCTGGTGGTGGAGCCCTGGGCTCGCTAGGCTCGGCCGGTGTTGGTTAGGACGTGCTGGTCCAGCCGGGTGCAGTTGACTTGGTTGCGACTGAAAGCCGGCGTGAACTAGGCCAGCTTGGGTGTGGAMACCAGAGTGGAGTAAACCAGTCTGAGAGTGGGTCTGGAGGCCGGGGTGAACTAAGCCCAGCTGGTTTTGGGGCTGAATGCCAGAGTGAACTAAACCTGACAGAGTGTGAGCACCAGGGTGTGTTAGGCCCGGCTGGGACTGGGACTGTGTTCCAGGGCGAAGGAAGCCAGGCTGGGCCTGGGGCCGCGTTCCAGGGCGAAGGAAGCCAGGCTGGGCCTGGGGCCGCGTTCCAGGGCGAACGTGGCCTTGTTGAGACTGCGGCCGTATTGCAGGGCGAGCAAGGCCTGGTTGGGCCTGGGGCTGTGTTCCGGGATTAACAAGGCCAGCTTGGGCCTGGGGCTGTGCTCCAGGGCGAATGATGCCAGTTTGGGCCTGGGACTGTGTTCCGGGACTAACAAGGCCAGCTTGGGCCTGGGACTGTGTTCCGGGACTAACGAGGCCAGCTTGGGCGTGGGGCTGTGCTCCAGGGCGAAGGAGGCCAGCTTGGCTCTGAACCCCGGGGTGCAGCAGGCTAGGCTGGGCTTCAGGCTGGATGCCAGGGCGCAAATCAGCCTGGGGCCAAGCAAGGGGCCGAACCTGGCCTGGCTGGGATTGGGACTGCACCCCTGGATGGACTGGTTCTTGCTGGGTCTGGACGCCCGAGGGCGCTAGGCCAGGTTGGGGTTGAGACTGAACCCCTGGGCGTACTAATCCTGACTGGCTCTGAAGCCCTGGGCGAATGTGGCCAGGCTGGGTCTGAACCCCTAGGTGAATGTGGCCAGGCTGGGTCTGAACCCCTGGGCGAACTGGGCCGGACTGGGATTGGTGCTGAAGCCCAGGATGTACCAGCCCCGGCCGGGGCTGAACCACAGCCTGAGCCTGGCCCGAATGGCTTTGGAGCTGGTGCCCGGGAAGAGCTAGGGCAGACTGGGACACGCGGTGCGGGAGGCCAGGCTGGGGCTGGGGGACAAGGACACCATCCTGGGCCTGCTGGATGGCATTCCCTTCGTGCTCAATGCGCATGTTCCCGTCCATGAGGACATAGTAGTCAGCCGGCTGCGGGCAGGTCATGTTGACCTCGTAGGAGGCTGCGATGACCCCGCTGATCAGCACCTCTTCCATGCGGACCCTCAGGATATAGCGGCCTTCCTGCGGCGAGGCAGAGGGGACGGTCACCTCCAGCGCCCGCCGGCAGCCGGGCACGAGGCGTTCGGCACGGGACCCTCACCTTCAYCAGGACGTGGCAGCCCTCGTAGCCGGAGGAGAAGCTCACGCCTCCGTCYGCGCCGGTGTTGAGCCAGTGGAGGCAGATGGAGCAGTTGGCCACTTCGAAGAGGCTGCCGAACTCGTCTGCGGAGAGCGCGCGCGCGCGGGCACCGGGTGAAGCGGGGTGGCGGTGGCGCAGGCTGGGGGGCACCCCGCTTTGGGGCACRGCAAAGCCGCCGTCCCCCCCACGCAGGACTGCCCCATCACTGCCTCTTGCCCGCCCCACGTGTGCAGACCCAGTCTCGGTCCCGGGAGCCTGGCTTTGGGTCAAGTTGTCCCCCCGGGGGCAGGCTGCAGAAAAACCCACCCGTCCGTGCCGCCCCTTCCAGCGGCACAACCCGGGAGAGGTGCCACGCCAGAGACACGTTCAAGCGTTCGGCTCAGCCCAGGGGCGCAGACCCCGGCGTGGGACGCAGAGGCAGCCGGGCGACGGTCTCGCACAGCCCCTGCCCRCCTCGCCGACACTCACCCAGCACTTTGAAGCGGACGCTGCGCCCGCGGGGCGGATACGCCAGGAGCTGCATGCCGTAGTCGCCGCACTCGTAGCGGTACCGCAGCAGCGCGCGCGAGGGGCCCGGCCCCAGCGAGAGGAGGAAGAGCACGGCCGCGAGCTCGCAGCTCCATGGGCAGCCCATGGCAGCGGCGGCGGGCTCGCCCGGCGCGGCGGACGTTTATAGGGGGAGGCGAGCAAGCGAGCAGGGGGGGACGGCGCGGGGGAGAGGCCGGCCACGGCAAAACGTGCCAGAGATCAGGCGAGCGACCTCGCTGCCCCGGCGCCGCTTGCAGCTCGATGACACCCAGGGGAAAAGCGAGCTTCAGATGCATAAGCTTTCGGCATAAGGGTGCGAGCGCTGGTGCCYGCGGAAGGGCCGGGATCGGCTGCCTGTGCGGATGGTAGCGACACCGCTACGCGCTCTTTGCTCAGAAGAGATCYAGAACTGGGGTCTGGACTTCATAAAGAAAAGAAAACTGAAGGTCAAGTGAGGGATAAGCCAAAGAAAAACCCCAAAAAGTAGAATCGGCGACAGGGGATCTGATGTCCTGCTGTGCAGTGTGAGCACAGACAAAGGCAGAGCTCCACAGGTCGATTCTTGGCCAACTCACCCTGCAACGAACGGGAAGGATCTTGGTCGCCTCTAGTTGCTGCCGACTGCGGCATTTGGTGGGTTCTTGCTTCCTCACTGGAGCCAGGGGCATCCTGTCCCTGCTAAATCCGTTTGGGGCTCTCTACTCCTGGGCTTCTACCGCCAGCCTACTGCAAGGGGGGTTGTTAGTAGCTCAGGCATTCGAGGGAAAAACACCAACATGAGAAAGGATACAGTCCTACAATTAAAAAAATAAATAAATAAAAAAGCAGGGCGTTCTCAAAAGAGGCTATGTCGGCAGGGAGCCGCGGAGGGCGACGCTTCCCGCCTGACTGCGTGCCAGGTGCCGCAGCGGGCTGGCGAGCAGGCTAGCGCTTGCCCTGGTCGCTCATTAACTTGCGTTATCTCCCGTGCCCTGGCCGCGATTGATCGCTTTGTGCTTGCACGCTGCAGGCGTGCTCCCGCGCCCGGAGACGGCAGCAGCAGCACTGCTCGCGCGGTCGGGGCCACGGGCTGCAAGCCTGGGATTTTCTGATTTTCCTGGGGACGTCTCTTGCCAGGGTGGGAAAACAGCTTCCGTGCACGGAAGGCTGCTCAGCAAGGTGAATGCTTTGTCCTGGAGCACAAGAGGGTGGTCTCAGAGCCCCAGCTCCTGCTCTCAGCTGATTTGGGATCGGTGGCTCGTCTAGTAAGGGGAAGGAATTACTTCTTTAGCTCTCTGATAACAGGGAGCACATGGAAAGCGGGAATTGGGGGTCACCAAACCGTGCAGAGCAGCAGACTGTGGGATTCAAGGAAAAGGAAAATCCCATTTCCTCCCCCCTGTGCCCCCTCAAAAATTGCCAGCACTGTGGCAGCCTTTTTATTCTGTAAGCAGAGAATATGGGTATTGCCCCTGCTGAAGTGACTGAGCTTTTTCAGAGGAAGCAAAAATCATCTTAGGAAAAAAAGAATCGCCTCCAGTCCAGGTGTGGGAGCTGCAAAGGAGAGCCAGAGCCAGACACCCACTGCCAAAGTCCCGAGCTCAGGGCACATGTGGGGCTGGTGGCACCAGGGAGAAGAAAAATGTGCTGCCCACATGCACAGGGGAAACGCAGCCTGGCGAGAGAAGACACAAGGAGGGTTTGGCTTTTTTTGGTGTAGTAAAGAAATGGTGGCAATTTGATGCAAACATCTCGGCTGTTKGAGCACCCACGGGTGTTTGAGTCACCACGCAAAGTCTTGCCCTGGGCAAAAGGCACATGCTGCATTTGCAAATTCAAGGCTTYAGCATCAGCCTGATTAAAACCTTAGCACGCCAAAGAATTGCCAGCAGCCGGGTGACCGCGATCCTAGGGCTATACGTTCMGCCTATATTCACTATCTATGTGAAGCACACACACATATAGTGAATTGTCAGGCGGCCGTCCTCAGCCCAGCAGCGCATGGATGCGGCTGCGGGGCCGCCTGCACCCAGGTGCATCCTGCAGCACGGCTCTGCAAGCAGAACAGGGAGCTTTGCTCCCTTCCCAGCGCTAGCTCGGGGACCTCGCTCATTCCAGAGGGGATTTGCTGGTGAATTCCCTTTTTTTCTCTCACAAAACCAGGCCACGCAGCCAGAGCAGGGGCCGGGAAGGCTGGGCGAGAGGAGACGCGGGTCACAGCACGGCCGGAGCGGGAGCGCGGGCTGCAGGAGGTGGCGGAGCATGCGGCTGCTGAAGGACACAATGCTCACGGTTGGAAGGCACCTCCAGAGATCAGCAGAGACACCCAGCCCTGGCGCAGGCAGAGTGATCTGGGCCACCACGACCGCTGTCACAGCACTGGGGACATCAGGGTGCCATTGTGCCGCTCGGGAGCCTTCCAGTCCTCCAGCTCCCAGACCCCGTGCCGCAGGAACAGTTCCCTTCCCAGGAACGTGAGCCGGACCCACGGCAGCGCTGGCCGAGCCCTTGCGCTTTATTGGCACCCGCTCCCGCCGGGCCCCCGGTGTGCCCCCCAGACTCCCCATCACAGCCGGCACCTGGAGGCCGGCCCCAGCTGCTGCTCCAGGAAGCGGATGATCTCCTGCCACGAGTGTTCCTGCGCCCTGGCGTGGGGCTGGGGCTCGCCGCCCCACAGCACGGGGAAGGGGCTGCCGCGGATGCTCGAGACGCTGCAGAGCGGCGAGCAAGGGGGCTCGATGAGGTGCCCGGCGCCGGCGTAGGAGAGCAGGCGGTAGCTGTCCTTCCTCATCCGCGCCGCGGCCATCTCGGCGAAGAGCTTGCTGTTGAAGTTGCGGTCGGCCTCTCCCACCACGAAGAGCACCTTGCCCCGGATCTTCTCCACGGGGATGGCGCAGCCGCTGTGAGCAGGGTCCCGGGGATCGCCGAAGAGCTCGTAGTTGTCCAAGGCTCCCAGCTCCGTGAACAGCAGGCGCTCCACGTAGTAGGGGATAGCGGGGATGCGGAGGCCCTTGTAGAGCAGCGGGCTGCCGTGGAGGAAGGCCGAGCCGTTGATCCACACCGTGGCCGCCACTTGCGGCAGGAAGGCGGCCATGGCCAGGGCCACCTCTGCCCCTTTGGACACGCCGACGACCCCCAGGCCGGGCCCTCGCACCTGCAGCGGGCGCCAGAGCCGCGTGAGCCTCCTCAGCAGCCCTTGCTGGGACACCCCCGCACCTCGCCGGCGCGGCAGCGCTCACCTTAGGGTGCCGGAGCAGCAGCTCCGCGGCCTCCTCGAAGTACTCCAGGTCCAGCTGCGTCAGCGTGCGGGGCAGGTCCTCGTAGGCGAAGAAGGCCAGGGCCAGCACCGCAAAGCCGCGGCTGGCCAGCAGCCCCGCTCGGAACTCGATGAGGCCCCCGGCGCCCCCAAACATGTCGATCACCCCTGGGAACGGCCCGGCTCCTGCAGGCAGCGAGGCACGTCTGTCGCCACCAGGCTGCCGCCCACCCGGCGCCCCTCTTGCCATCCCAGCGGCTCAAAGCRAGCGTGCAGAGCTCCAGGGTTTTCCCGGGGAGGGGATCCACGGAAAACCATCAMGGCTCAAACCCCTCTCCAAGCTTCCACGGAGCGAGATGCTATTGACCGAAGTCGCCGCCGTTGCCCTCGGGAGCTGTCGGTGCCAGCGGGTGCGGAAGCGGCTCCCGGGGGAAGCGCGGCTGCGGATGGCGACAGGGAGCCTCCCGCCTTGCCGTGCTCACCTGGAGGCAGGAAGAGGGCCCCGCGCACCCTGCCCTCGCGGACGGGGGTCCGCCGGACGCCGGGGCCCACGAACCAGCGCTCGGCGGTGCAGGCGGCCAGCGGCGGCTCCTCCGGGCCCGTCACCACGCGGACGCCGTCGAACACCTCGAGGCGGACGCGGAAAGGGCTGCCGGCCACGTCCCGCTTCACCAGCCGCTGGAAGGGCGCCTCGGGGCGCAGGAACCAGAAGAGGCCCATGGGCCAGYGCCCGGCGAAGTCTCCCCCGAGGGCGGCGTGGCGCTCGGCGTCCACCTCGCCGCGCTCGTCGGCGGCGTAGAAGGCGCGCGCGCGGAAGCGGCCGCCGCGCTCGTCCGCGAGCGAGGCCAGCAGCGTGACCCGCTGCCGCGGCGCCAGGCCCCGCACGCGCACCCGCACCGGCCCGTCGGCCAGCGAGGAGCGCGGCGTCACCGTCACCTCCACCATGGCCGCCCCGGCACGAGCGAGCGCCGCCGTCACCGCCGGCGGCACCGCCACAGCGCCGGGCTCCGGTGGCTCTAAAGGAGGTGGGARGCAGGCAGGGCGCCCCCGCCCCCCRGCCTGCCCTTTATCCAGGGCTCCTCCGCCGGGATAATCATTAATTAGGGAGCGCTGCGGGGCCGATGACCCGGCACTGCCCCGCGCCTCCGCTCTGCCCTTCCYGCTCCCCGCCGCGAGGAAACAGGAATGAGGAAGAAACAAAGAATAAAAGCACGGCCGGAGCGCGGCGCCGTGCCTGGGAGCCCGCGGGTGCCCGGCGCCTCTGCGGAGGTCCTGCACCCCCGGGGCAGCCTCTCGCTAACGCGGCGCGTGGGGATCCCACGGAGCCGGCGCGGATCCCACGGAGCCGGCGCGGATCCCACGGAGCAGGCGCGGATCCCACGGAGCCGGCGGGCTGGCTGCCAGCTCCCGGCCTTGCACCACCCTCTGCACCTCCCCTCCCGGGCAGCCGGCCAACATCCACACTCCTTTCTCCCTCCCCAGCCTCCCGTCCACCTCCATCTCCCTTCCCTGCTTCGGAGGAAGCCCCGGGGCCTCAGCCCGGCTTGCTCCAACTCATCCCCAAACCCCTGGGAAAGAAAGGACAGGAGTCTGATGTGAGTTGTGCTTGGCCCTTCACGAGCTCCGTACTGCAGCAGAGATGAATCCACGTCCCCGCTCTGCCCCGCGCAACAGGCTCCAGCAGGGAAAGCCCTTCCTTAGCGAAGGTCTCGGTGCTCGGTCAGCCCAGGAAGATCTGCTCCGGCCCAGACTCCTCAGTTCCTGGCTGAGCAAAGGCCAAAGCAGCAGCTTGTCCCGCCGAGGCCGGACTCGCCCCATCCCATCCCTTCGGAGGCAAGCCCAGCTCCCTTGCCGCTCTCTTTTGAAAAGACAAGGCYGCTTTGGCTAGGTGAGCAGTTCTCGCTGCAGTGCCGGACAAGAGGCAGCCCCGTCCTGCCCGTCAGCAACAGCCGGCTTCAGAGGGGCGCGCTCGGCAGCCTGTTCCCGCGGCCACGCCGCCGCAGGACCCGCAGCAGCCCTGCCCCTCCGCAGCCAAGGAGGCCCCGCGCAGCGTCTCCCGTCCCTCGGGACGCACAAACGCCCCCGGAGAGGCGCGGGGTTTGCGGGAGGCGCCGGGCCGGGCTCCTGCAGCGCGGCTGCTCCCGCGCGCGGGCTCACTGCGCCGCCGCCGTGCGCTGCGCCGGCGCCTTCTGGAGCAGGGCCAGCGTGTCCCGCTTCTCCACCCGCCGCAGCTGCTTCTTCTTGGCCCGCCTGAGCTTCAGCGGGTTCCGGATCTGGCAGCGGGGAGGGAAAGGCAGTTTTCAGAGACYGCCCTGGGGAGAGCCAGGCTCCCACCCGCACACCTCCCATCCCAGAAAAGCCCAGGCCGAGCTTAAGGCCAGCAGCAGGAGCTGCCAGAGGATTTTCTTCCTCCCGCTGCCACAGACAGGACCTTGCAAAGCCCAGAGGCCACGCACAGAACCGGCCGGGTCCGTCACTTCCCCCATCACCTCAGCGCTGCTCAGAGCAGCTCCCAAAGCCCCCAGGAAAAGGGAACGGAGGGCTTGGATCCAGCACCCGTGGCCGGGATGCGGGCGCAGACACACTCACCACTTGGACGATCTCCGCTTTGCGCTCGTTCTCCAGGCGCCGCCTGAGGTTCTCCTCCCGCCGCCGCTTCCTCTCCTGCGCGAGCAGCACGGAACCTTTGCCGCCCGCGCTGGGAGAAGCAAATCCAGCCGCGGGGGGACCCGCATCCGAGCCTGCGGCGACCGGGGCCGCCTCCCCTCAGGCCCGAGAACACCCTCCTTCCCAACGACCCATGCACGGGGATCCCAGGGATGCCCGGGGATGGAGCGCAGCCCTTTCCGGACCGCGGCGCCGTGCYCGTTACCTCGCGCTCGGCGCGCTTGCCCTCCTGCAGCTGCCGCGCCAGCTCCGCCACGAGCCGCCTCTCGCGCCGCTCCGACATCTTGCGCTGCCACGAGGAGCGCAGCGCCTTGTCCTGGACCATGTGCGAGAACCTGGGAGCGCGGCGCGGCCGCCTCAGCCTCCGGCGCCTCCCTCGGCCCCGCTCCTCGGCGGCGTTCCCGCGGGGCGGCGTTCCCGCGGGGCAGCGTTCCCGGGGGGGCTGCGGGGCGGCGTTCCCGTGGGACGGCATTCCCGGGGGGCTGCGGGACGGCGTTCCTCCAGGGTGGCATTCCCGGGGGGCTGCGGGGCAGTGTTCCCGCGGGGCGGCATTCCCAGGGGGCTGCGGGGCGGCGTTCCTGCGGGACGGTGTTCCCCCAGGGCGGCATTCCCGGGGGGCTGTGGGGCGGCATTCCCGGGGACGGCATTCCCCCAGGGCGGCATTCCCGGGCGGCGTTCCTGCGGGATGGCGTTCCCCCAGGGCGGCATTCCCGGGCGGCGTTCCTGCGGGACGGTGTTCGCCCAGGGCGGCATTCCTGGGGGGCTGTGGGGCACTGTTCCCAGGGGACGGCGTTCCCCCAGGGCGGCATTCCCGGGCGGCGTTCCTGCGGGACGGCGTTCCCCCAGGGCGGCATTCCCGGGGGGCTGCGGGGCGGCGTTCCCGCGGGACAGCGTTCCCCCAGGGCAGCATTCCCGGGGGGCTGTGGGGCACTGTTCCCGGGGGATGGCGTTCCCGCACGGCGGCATTCCCGGGGGGGCTGTGGGACGGCGTTCCCGGGGGGCTGCGTTCCCCCAGGGCAGCATTCCCGGGGGGCTGCGGGGCGGCGTTCCCACGGGACAGCGTTCCCCCAGGGCAGCATTCCCGGGGGGCTGCGGGGCGGCGTTCCCGCGGGACGGCGTTCCCCCAGGGCAGCATTCCCGGGGGGGCTGTGGGGCACTGTTCCCGGGGGATGGCGTTCCCCCAGGGCGGCATTCCCGGGGGGCTGCGGGGCGGCGTTCCCAGGGGATGGCGTTCCCCCAGGGCAGCATTCCCGGGGGGCTGTGGGACGGCGTTCCCGCGGGACAGCGTTCCCCCAGGGCGGCATTCCCGGGGGGCTGTGGGGCACTGTTCCCGGGGGACGGCGTTCCCCCAGGGCGGTATTCCCGGGGGGGCTGTGGGACGGCGTTCCCGCGGGACAGCGTCCCCCCAGGGCGGCATTCCCGGGGGGCTGCGGGGCAGCATTCCTGGGGGCCTGCGTTCCTGCGGGGCCGCGTTCCCGCAGGGCTTCAGGCCGGCATTCCCGCGGGAACTCGGGCCGGCATTCCCGCGGGGCTGCGGGCCGGCATTCCCGCGGG